GCGCGTGGCAATCACGCGTGAAATTACGCGCAGTAGGGATGCGCAATGCAATACTGGGAAATGACCTTAATTAGGCTTCGAACAATCGTACCCAGTGCAGAAGCTCCGCTTTAATTTTAGACTTGGCTAAATCTATATATTAGAAATGTTGACCAAGTATAAGGAACGTATCGGTAGAGGAAACAATGTTCAAGACCATGCATGATGCAAAATTCTCATAAGTCCACATCTCCAAGGCTTTCCTGTAAAGTATCATTAAAATGTACTAAATTGAATCCATTTTGTGGGTACTTTTAGTCCATTGATTGAAAATTTATACCATGTTCTCGGAATACGCGCGCGTTTATTCACCCGAATACTGCTTTGGTAAATTGATTAGTGTTTTTGTTGGAAGCTGATTGGTGTTTTGGTAAATGGTTTTTTGTTTGACCCTTTTTGTGCCACCGTACTACCAGTGAGACACCTCGCAAGTCAAGACACTGACTGTTGGTCTTTCGCTTTTTACCTTGTTTCGATTGGCTTTATTTTTATTTTTTTTTTTAGTTTCCACGATATTGTTCCTGTTAGTATTCCATTATTCCTGTGTCAGTTGAATCTCCCGAGCTTTTGTTCTGGTTTTTAACCCACTCTCATAGTAGCAGGCCATATTGTTGATGCCTCAGTTTCGACAGAAATTGCAGTGTCAGTTGATTGTGATCAGCAGAATATGATCTGATAATCTCTTGTTGTAATAATTGATTATGCTCGTATACGTTTTCTTTAATGCATAGATATGATGGAGCACTACGTTCTTTTATTCTTCACACTGATGTGCATTTACGCGACCTTCTCCGATGCTGAGGAAACCAAAGAGATGGCAATCTCAGTTCCGCTCCTAGAGTCACAAGCAAATGTATGTGTATGCACCATTAAATCAAAATCACTTCACAGCTTATCTTAACAAAAAGATAAATTGATATATTTTTTTTATTACATCTGGTTCATTTACTTTTTCAAAACATAACGTATTCAGCCTCTCGCGATTTGACGGCTCGTATTTTCGGCTCCGTCTATTGGCGCTTCGAAGTGCACACAAAAGCACCATCTACGCAGGTTCGCTGTTCCATCATATATGATCGCGATTTTTGCTAACAAGTTGGTTAAAATAGGTCACTAGAGATTTTGGAGAAGACAAATTGGCGCCTGAATTGTGAATTATATTAAGACAGAGCATGTTAAAAGATCTTGGATTTTGTCAAGTGTAAGAACCATTACAATTAATTGCAGGTATTTTGAATTGAGCTTTAAATGGCAACAATAACTTAATTTGTGTTGCAGGCGGTGCGATGCCCAGATGGGATATTTTGCCCAAATCGGCAAACGTGTTGCCCAACTTCCCCCTCAAGAAGGAGATACAATTGTTGTAGATTTTATCATGCTAATTGCTGCTCTGACTATATAACTTGTTGCCCTCGGTATTGGCAATGCTTAACTACAATGCGCAAATGCTTGAAACCGACGTATTCATCTGTATTGCAAATGCCGGCCATTCTGCTAGTTAATAGTACGGACAAACGTTGCCATGATGGTACAGCTGACATTGACCCAAAGGTTAGCAGAATTACACCTTCACAACAAGAAGAAACAGTGTTGAAGAGAAGTGGCTTCATCGGCACCTCCGGCGACGTTTTCTCTCCTGGTGAAAAATATCAGTGTCCAGATGGGACAAGCGCTTGTGAGCTCTCTTCTGGAATACATGGCTGCTGTCCGATCCAAAATGCAAGGTGGGTAAAGATAAGGGACACCATTCCACCCCCACAGTCATCAGATGGTATGTGAATTTTTTTTTTTTTTTTTTTTTTTTNTTTGGAAGTTGATTGGTGTTTTGGTAAATGTTTTTTTTGTTTGTTTGTGATACGCCCCGCAACTCTCGTTTCGATTTTTTCACCTTAAGAAAATTGTTTCCATGTACTGTATTTTGTTAGTTTTCGCGATATTGTTCTTAGGCCTGTTAGTATTCCATTAGTCCTGTGTCAATTCAATCTCCCAAGGGTTCGTTCTGGTTTTTTACACAGTCTTGTTGGTAACAAAGGTAGCTCAAGCTCGGTATGTGAGCGTTATAATACCGAAATACAGTGCAACAGTTCAACCCTAATTTTAAATTGTACGGAGCGTAGTTAATAATTAGTCATGACCTTACTTTTAAGATATTGCATGGAAAATACTTTTGCCGAGGTATTTTACATCCAGTCTCTTACAGCGAAGGTCATGATTCATTATAAACTACGTTCCGTATAATATAAAATTATGGTTAAACTCTCGCACTGTATGTGGATATTATGACGCTCACATACTGAGCCTGAGCTACTTGTGATACTAGCCGGCCACAGTATCAATGCCTCAGTTTGGACAGGAAATGTCAGTTGATTGTGATTAATAACGCTCATAAGTTATCTTGAATGTGTAGATGGAGCGCTACGTTCTTCATTTGGCCCTCACACTGCTATGCATTTACCTGACCTTGTCCTGTTCTGAAGAAACCAAAGAGAGGACAATCTCAGTTCCGCACCTAGAGTCACAACCTAATGTATGTATGTGTACCATTAAATCAAAATCACTTCTCAGCTTCTCGTAATAAGAAATTCTCGATATAATTTTTGATTACATCTGTTTCATTTAGTGTCTCGCATGATTCCGTATTCAGTTTCTCACGATTTCACGGCTCTTTAATTCACGGTTTCGTCTATTGACGCTTCAAAGTGCACCCAAAAGTACCTGCTGCGCAAATCCGGTGTTCCATTATATATGGTCACCATTTTCGCTAACAAGTTGGTTAAAATAGGTCACTGGAGATATTTGGAGATGAAAAATTGGCGCGATAATTGTGAATTGTTTTAAGACAGAGTATGTTAGAAGATCTTGAAATTTATCCAGTGTAAAATCTATTACAATGCAGGTATGTTAAATTGAGATGTAACAGGCAACCATACCTTAATCTATGTTACAGAATCAATGCCCAGATGGCACACAATGTCCAAACCAAAGGTGTTGCCCAAGAAGGCGTGGGGGATACGGTTGTTGTCGATGGGGAAGAATCGCTAATTGCTGCCCCGATCGTATAACTTGTTGCCCTCGGGGATGGTTATGCCTAGTCACAGAACGCGAATGCGTGCAACAGACGTATTCATCTGTATTGCGAGTGCAGGCTGCTGTGCTAGTTAATAGTACGGGCAAACGTTGCCGTGATGGTACCGCTGGTATGGACTTAAAGTCTGGAAGAAGTATACCTTCACAACAGGTAGAAACAGCGTTGAAGACAAGTGGTTTCATCGGCACCTCCGGCGACGTTTCCTCCCCTGTTGAAAAATATCAGTGTCCGGATGGAACAAGCACTTGCGAGCTCTCTTCTGGAATAGATGGCTGCTGTCCCATCCAAAATGCAAGGTGGATAAAGATAGTGGACACCTTCCCACGTCCACATTCGTCAGAGGGTATGTCAAGTTTTTGGCAAGAGAACTCGTGTGCTCTTGTCTCTGGAAAACTGTATTTTCATTACCATTCACTGAATCAATTATTTTCATACTTATGTTTTGAAAAACAACCTAAATGCCCAAATTGATAGTTGTATTGATGCATCTATTATTTCGATTCGCAGTTTGTTGTTGTTGTTGTTTTATTTTTTTGTTTCTTTTTTCTATCTACTATCTTATTCATTAATATCTTTCGTTCAAAGATATGTTTAGCATTAGCATATCCGCTTATTTTTTTGTTGTTGTTGTGCAATGGTTGATTGTTAAAAATAACGAGGCAAAGAGAAGATAAATTTTGAGAATCAAGTACTTTCGGCTAGCTAGGATGCTGCACGTCACGTTTCTGTCTTTTTTATTGTTGTTGTTGTTGTTTTTGCTGTTGCTTTTGTTTGTTTAATGTCCAGTTTTCTCATCATTTTTCCAGATGCCGACCCGGAGGAAGAGAACAGAAGACCGTAATGCGGCTTAAATTTAGAAACAAATGGCGAAAACAAAATTTAAATGGGAAAAGTTCAGGAGGAATAACTCGGATGTTTTGTTTTTGATTTATATTCTAAGGAATATTAACAAACAAAGGTCTGACATTTTTTTAAAAAAAAAAATTGATATCGGTGTGTTTCGAGGAGGGGCCTTTCATAATTTCTGAAGATAATCAATTTGTTCTACATGTAATTCAAGCTGAAGTAAAATGCTTTTAGTTAATGAAAAGAACCAAAATACCACGGCGAAGGCACTTTAAAATTATATCATATTTTTAATCTATATTCGTGTATGTTTTATTCGATTCTTCGGTCATCAAATTGATTGCAGCGATAGCGCGATTTGAGTCTTAATTGTTTCGGGGCGTGGACTTGTTTTGCACACGCTGTAGTTACTATTGATGTGAAGTTTATATGAAATAATTCACATATGAACTGCGGTTGTAGATGAAAGTGAAGAATGATCATCGCAGTAAATTTTCCAAATTA